GGGGAGTGTGGGCAGTAATTTTAGTTGTGGTTATATTTGGTGAACACCTTCATATTGATTACAAATATGATATAAATACATGTTGTGTTGGTGGTAGGGCGAGTTAATCTCTACTTACCGATTTGGTATCATATATATCTTGCAGTATTGTTTAAACTTAAGTTGAGCTAGTGTTAGGGTGAGTTATACGTCATGTTCTATGTTTTGTCATCAGTGACTTCCTTATTTGAAATACTAAACCCTCAATCAGATTTGTTTAATGCTGTGTGGCTTGAACCAAACTTTTGTATCCATAGGTTATGCTTCACTGTAGTAATTGTCATTCTCTCATCACCTAGATTGTAATCTCCATCATAGTTGGATGAATTTTATATTTTTGTCTGTGACTGGTTTAGTTTTGCATTCATTCAATACAGTGTATCTGAATCTTTAGAGTAATACCCCAAGGATCCTCATATTAAATGCCCAGGATTTTACATTTTTTATTTAGAAAACTAATTGCATCATCATAATCTATTTTCATTTCCTTACGTCTTGTCTCACTGTGCAACAAGATGGAAAATGCTTCCACTCTCTTCTCTTGCCCTTGTTTCCCTCCACAATTTTTTTGTCATTTTCCTTTATCAACAATCTTCTCTAGCGAAAGTATGTTACAGGAGTTTTGAAATCAATAATGCTCTCTCTCATTACCTTTCTCATCTCTATCAAAGCGACGAATCAAACCATTTCAACTTAGATGGTAGTTAACATCAATGAATACTCTCTCTAGATGAGTCATAAGAACCCACACAAGGTGGTACTTCATTCTGCAATACCTAGTCAGTTGTACCAGTGAAGAAGATGGTCAACGAACTGTACTACTTTCAACATTTGCATCTAGCTCTTTACCTGGAACAGCTAGATGGGTAAGAACAAGTTTAGACACCCAGAAATTAAAAAAAAATAAAAAATCAGTAGTTTAGGGTTGTGTTTCCAATATGTTTGACCAGGTTATGATGGAAGGAAGGAAGAGAGAGAGAGTGAGCGCACCAGGTTCTGGTTATGTAGTTACAGGATTTGAAGATGGTTGGGCAGTGGGATCCTTGAGCAGGGAGAAGTGATGGAAGGGGAAGAAAACAAGATTGCTGAAATTATACAGTGGGGCATTTGCCCATTACCATACCTGTGAAGCGAGTAGGATAACAAAACCTATGCTGTAACTAACATTAGTATATTTTCGCCGTCATGTTTGAGAAGCCATCTCATTTGAACACCTATGGTTATCTAGGATCATAGTTACCAGAATTCACTAAATTCCTAACGACCCACGATCTAGTTACATCTATCCCAAACAGGTGGGTTCACGATCCAGATCACCCCTATGTACGACCCCAAATTATAATATTAACAATAAATCGATTCGCTTTAGAACGTGTAACACAAATATAATATACATATTAATTGACTACTTGTATATGAATTTATAATTATATATTATTTTAGATAATAGAAAATCGAGTACAAATTTAAGATAAATAGTAACTAACCTAGTAGTGTTTATTGATGTTTTATAATATCTAATGTTGTATAGTATTGAAAACGATCTAGATAAAAGTTTCAAAACGAATTGCGACTCAAAATAGTATACCAACTAAGCCTATCCCTATCGTACCGTGTACATAAAAGAGTGTCGTACTTCCATACTCGTACCTATACTATTTAGTACGAAAGCGACCCATGATCCAGTAAACATTGCCTAGTATAACACCAATATAGTGACCAATTATCTTCTAGATAGAGCTGGAAGGCGGTTTGGCTGAGGAAATGGCTGCTGTTTGCTAAATTATGAGGCCAGAGGTTTGTTATTCTCAGGTTTCAGAAAAGATTAGAAGCAAGATGATAATTGCAGTGGCAGTCGAGTTTTTTTTTTTTTTGTGTATTTTCCAAAGTGCTTATCACATCACTATTAAACTCGTTTACTGCATTTATGTATTTAGCGTCAGCCAGAATGAGTATGCCTTCTGTTATTATTATTATTATTATTATTCTTTTTTGTGTTATTATTATGTAAATACCAACTAGATTGTCATTATAGCATTAGTATTTCAGTTTGTATTTTAGCATTGCTATTATCACCTTTGTTTTCGTTGCCAAGATTGTTACCATTGTTTTTATACATTAGCCATAGTGAACTAACTTCCATTGAATATATGTATGGTTTGCATGATTAATGCTCTCATGTCACTCTGACTTACCACCCTTGCTTTTCTATGGTGGTATTCACTGACCAGTACATCCTTCAAGTTGGCGAGGGAGCTGCAGCACAATGCATAAGTGGTTTTATAGCTTTAGACGTGCCTCCCCCTCGTGGACCTCTCTGGTATTTTTTTTCCCATTGCTGCTTTCCCATAGCTATATCACTATATATGGACACTATAGTAAGTAGCTCTACTGTAGGTTGTGCTTCCACAGGGCTTTACTGAATTTTTGTTTATGTGATCCAGGATTTTGGGAGATGTCTTCATGGGTTACTACCACACGGTGTTTGACTATGGTAATATGACAGTTGGATTTGCCGAAGCAGTATGATTGAATCCTTCTCTCTTCTTCATTTACGTCCTTCATATTGCTACTTCTTGTGAAACCTTTTAATCGTGCTGTTGTTATAGTTAAATATGAAGTGTTGAACTTTGGCCTTGACCTGTATTTGAACATGTAAATAATGTGATACATGGAGCTTCTTAACTCGCTTCGAAAAAAGAACAGCAATTCCTTAATAATTTTCTTTTGCGTTGGTTTAGAATTTATTTGGCAAAATTAGAAACTTCAACCATATCATGAAAATTTGGGCGATGCTCCATGCATCGCTAGCCCGGGGTTCAGGCAAAAAAAAGCCATATCATGAAAATTCTACTGTTTAACCTTCATTGGAGTTGCAGAGTAGGATTTCTGTTGGCGTATATATCTTGACACCCCAATTTTCTTTTAGTTGATAGCCATTTTGAGAAGTATTGTGTACTATTCTATTAGTATCTTTAGGGATCAAATGTATGTTATTGCCGTTCTATCAGATGTTGGAACAGCTTACAAAATTCAACCACTTGACCCTACTTTATGGCCTCCAACCGTTTCTCGTACCTCTATGAAAACAAAATGGTTTTATGTTCTTTTCATTGATTGTTTATTTTTTTCCGGTTGAATCTCTTTCTCTAATTTTGGTCTCGATTAGTTCACAAGATTGAATTGCAACTTCTTTTCCGGATCCTACATAACCAATGTACTGTGAGTGATAACGAGCTCATCCTAAGCGATGCCTTGTTGGTTCAAATTTGAGATTTAGCCTCTCTTAATGGGGTTAGGCTAAATCCGGGGAGGTTTGAAAAAATTGCCAAATATTTCCCTTGTTTGTTAACAAATTTGGTTTTTCAAGTTCAACCAAAGGGAAACACTAATCTGGAGACAAATGGGTGGGTTTTGATTAGGGTTGATAATCGAATTGAGTTTTATAAATGTAAATCAAGTTTGTCGAGTTCGATTTTTTAAACGAGCCAAGCCCAAAATGTGTTGAACCTGAGTTAAGAGTTGAAGTAGTTCGACTATTTTACATATAAACAAGCTAATATTATAAAGTTAGAGTTGAGTCTTTTAAACTTGATTTTTTAAACGAGTTTTAAAAAATATTTAAGTTTGTTTTCGTATAGAAAACGTGTTAAATTCGAGTCAAGTTCTATACGAAACGAATTCAAGCTGAGGTTGAGTAGATTGAATCGATTATCAATTCTAGTTCTATTTTGCCGCCAACTTGATTCGAAAGTTTCAACCTTCTTTTCTTTGATCATAAATCAAAAGAAATTCTCCCACTTCAAAACCTTGTGACTTGTAAAACTCCGGTTTAGATCATCTCACCTGGTATTTTTGCCCATCTCAATCAAATATCATCAATAACCGTTAAATTCGATAGCATTGGTTTTCAACGGTCCAGGATCGGCTGTTGACTGGTCAACGGGCTGGATCGAGCCAATCCATAATAAAAGACTAGACTCATTATAGTTCAATAAAGGGTGAGTTCCAAATAGATAAACCAGTTATGTGAATCTATTTAACGTAAAAAATATCGACATTTATAGAATCTGCTCTTTAAATGAATTAGGAATCTTCTTATAACTTTAAAGCAACCAATAAGGGTTAAAAAAAATACTCAGGGTGAACTTTTTGTTTGGGTAAGCAACTCAAAATGGACTTAATTACCAAATAAAGCTAGCCTATTAAACGGGTCATGGGCCCATGTCTCATTGACCCGAAAAATTAGAGCGCACCGCAACCCATCTCCAACCCTTACTTAAGCTACACTCTTGGCATGACCAAAGCATCACGTTTTTCCTTCTCGTAACTCACAAATGAAGGTACTAATAATTGATTGATAGCTTTGTACGTGACCC